AAGTTTTCGAGCTCGAGTCAGCCTCCATTCTTCTTCTTTCTCCTGGTATAGACCTGTCATTCCTCATCCGAAGATCGGCTCACCTGATCAGTAGATTGGTCTAAAGTGTGTCGAACATGTGTAGGTTGTTGAACATTAAAAGCAACTACTTGTTGTACCAGCTGATCTTTTATCAGGTCGAATGAGCACTCTCGTATGTCTTGGCATATAAGTGGGTCTTCTTCAATAATAGTGAGTGGTATAAGCATATTTGGATTTGTACATGTAGCATGGTGTTTTTCATCAAGAACTGCGGTGTTGGGAACTGCGGTGTTGGAAAGATGTTGGAAAGAAGATCGGGTTGCACCTTCTCAACAGGGATGGTAGATGGCTGATCTTTAGCAATATCCGACCTTAGATGAGGATGCAAACGATAGCAAATAGTAGAACTGTCTTGATAACTTTTCGATTCAGATGTGTAATCGGCATCGTGAGATAACTGAATAAGGATATGTCATCCCTCAAGTAAGCCGATATTTCAACTTCCCAATAACTTCATAGCATCAAACTATTTCCGAATGATCTCAAGTTTTGGGTGACCATAAAGGAATTTCCCCACTAGAGCAAAACGCCAAGAGGACACGAGAGTACTGGTTTCAACCTTAGTGAGAATCAGAGTAAGCTTCCCATTTTTTTTACCAAGTTTTTTTATGAAAGTGTGATCACCACCAACTTCAATAGCATCAAGATTGTGGAACATTGCAAGGCTTGTCGATATAAAAACAAGGCTCTGAACCTGAAAGAGAAGCACGAGTAGGAATAGGAAAGTAGTCGGCAAGTGTGGTGGCATAGGAACGCTTTTTCGAGGCCATCTCCAGAGCTGTTAGGCGAGCCGCTAGAAAAAGGCAAGCATAAGAGACAACGCGAGCAACAAGCTGAGAAGTCCGCCTCGTAACAGTCCGACAAAAGGGAGGCGACGAAAATGAAGGTTCTTCATCGGGCACAACTTCGGAGGGAGACGACGAAAATGAAAGAGGCCTTCGTCGTCGTGCACAACTACAATAGAGGCGAACCGTTGTCGTGCGCAATTGTGACAGAAAAAACTGAAAGGGTCCTTCGTCGTCGGGCACGATTACTACTACAGAAGAGGAGAGACTACGAAACCGAATGCCAGATGGAGTGAAGAGAAAAGTGTCAAAACAGGGAATCGCCATCGATATATATATATATATATGTGTGTGTGTGTGTGTGTGTGTGTATATATATATATTTGGAAGCCCAAAACGGCTAATATATTAACTAGAAATAAAGATACAGATACAATGTGATGGAGGGCCCAAACATGGTACCCTACTCACACCAAAACTACAAGGGTTTCCACAACTAGAAAATACTGAAAAGTACATTAGAGACATAAAGAAAAAAAAACCTACAAATGCATAAATACATAATATCAGGTGGCTAGAGAGCAACCCAATTTGGTTTTGTCTCTGCCTCTGGTTCTAGGAAAGGAGCAAGCTAATAAGTTGATAAGATGATTGTCATTGTCAGTAGTAATTACATCATCCAATATGTTCCCGAGCTGGAATCGGCCTTCATTCTTCTTCTTTCTCCTGGAATAGACCTGTCATTCCTCTTCCGAAGATTGGCTCGCCTGATCTTGGTTTAAAGTGTGCTGGATATGTGCAGATTGTTGGACATTAGAAGCAAGTACATGTACCGGCTGATCTGTTATTGGATCAAAGGAGCACTCTCGTGTGTCTTGGCGTGTAAATGAATCATCTTCAATAACAGTGGGTGGTATGAGCACAATTGGATCTGTAGCTGTAGTATGTTCTTCTTCAGGAATTGTGTTGGGAAGAGGATTGGGTTGCATTTTCTCAACAGGGATAGTAGGTGGTTGTTCTTTAGCGATATTCGACTTTAGATGAGGATGCAAGCGATAACAAATAGTAGAGTTGTGGCCAAACATACTACAATGAGAGCAATAAGGAGGATGTGGTTTCATTTTAACCTTTTGTCAATACCTGTTGTGCATAATTTCAATTCATATCTCACCCGGAGCTGGTTGAGTGATATCTCTCTCAACTAGCACACAAGTCACAGAGGGTCTAGTGATAGCAAGCGTAGGACTATCCACCTTGAGAGGCTTACCGTAAGCAGTTTCTAAAGAGTAGAGGATTTCCATGTTGAACAGATGTAATTTTAACCCCAGAAACTTTATCCAAACAGGAATGATAGTGGACTTCGCTTTTGGATCAAAACCGACAGTCCACTTCAGAATTTTCATAAAACGATTGTCAAACTTGATAGCTTTCCGAGAGAAAATACGAGTGTAATCGGCATCATGAGATAGTTGAATAAGTATATGTCTACAGTCAAGTAGGCCAATGTTCCAACTGCCCAATAGTTTCATAGCATCAAACTCCATAATGATCTCCAGTTTTGGGTGGTCATAAAGAAAATTTCCCCACTAGAGAAAAATGCCAAGAGGACGTGAGAGTACCAGTTTCAACCTCTGTGAGAATAAGTACAGACATTCCATTTTTTTTTCAAGCTTTTTAATAAAATTATGATCATATCCACCTTCAAGAGCCTCATGGAAAGATTCTGGAACATTGCAGGACTTACCGATAGCAAAATTAGGCGCTGAACCTGGAGGAGGGGCACGAGCAGGAAAGTCATCGACAAGAGTATTTGCATAGGAACGTCGAGGTCATCTGTATGTATTATATATATATATATATCAATTCAAATGATATATATATAATTATGAACTTGATCCTCTGTAAGCAAAACAGAGTTGATAAGTTTCATATGCAATCATATGTCAATACTAAACCCGATTCTTTACAAGTAATATGTATAGTCGAAATGGTTCAAATCAAACAACCAAAATTCTTGATAATGATCGTGTTAATTGAAAGTCGCAATCGGAGGGGTTAATTTCAAACCAGCATTCAATATAAACTTTCAAACCAATAGTCAAGTTAAAATTAATCACGTAAAAGTTGAAATCAAACTTCATCCACCTTCCGCAATCATTTGTTTAGTGTGAGAAACCCTTGATTGACTTTAGCTCACAAAGATCTATCGTCAGATCGAGTGTATCGTTATATTTACAATCAAAGAAATTGCATGCCAGTAAGGACTTGGTTTGAATCTTTTGCCCGCTTGATTTTGTCATCAAATGGTACCACAGTAGTACTTACAACCAGAGCCCTCTAACCAGGTGATTGTCGCTAAATAGCATCATTCTATTACGGTCACGGCAGCAATTCGTATGTTTCTGAAAGTCATTCTATCTTTTGAGTTATGAATCATAAGATTACAATTAATTGGTATAAAGTCTTATGTTAACTAAGGTTGACTTCAATTTTTACCCCTTAGACAAACCTCCACCCCAAATCTACAAGGGTCCCTTAGACAACACAACTCATGGTTGCTGATAAGGATCTTTCAGTCAGGTTAGATCAACTGTCTCCTTTGACTAAAGTAGATCAGGGGCCATGATGATCCAGAATGACGGAATCATGAGATCTTGATCAGATTAATCATCATTTCCCCCACCATCTGCTTTAAGCTTCACGTGATTGAATTTAAAAATATGTTTGCTGATTGAATTTAAAAAAGTCCTCGCAGAATGAGAGTGAAAAACTGACCCTCTGAAGCTCTCTCAATAACAAACAAATGAAAAATCCAGAGTCTCAGAAAGCGGTTGGAATTTTCTGAGCCCACACCCCAGTATATTATTCTTTTGAGTTTGTTCAGTCTAAATTACAACGGCCTCTCAACTTCTTTTATGCTTATTGGGTGTCTATAGGAGTGTCAAACCTTCCCACAATATTTTATAAAAAAAAAGTGCATGGTTGATGTCAGAGTTATTGCGATCAATGATCTTCAAACTCTCCGCACATAAAAAGTGTATGTAGCCCTTTAACACCTGCATGAGAAGCTATGTGAAAGTAGACTTTTTACAACATTGAAACAATGCTCATGAGTATTTAGTTCATATTTTTTTCTATCACGTTGGAACAAGAAGAATTGGTACTTAAATTTTTCTTTTTAACAAGAAGAATTGGTACTTAAATTTTTCTTTTTTTTCTACGTAATCTTTGTCTTGTACACTGCAATTTTTGTATTTCACTTTCATGTTGCGGCCCATGCAATATAGTTGTCTCTTTGAGGTATTTTTATTGTTTTGGACATCTACATAAATTTTCTTACAAATGAACAATATTTGAGCGATTCCAATTGTAGCTAAGGCATTTTGAACACGATTTGTGCAACCTCTTTTGCATTGCTGGCTATTTTCCATCGTATTTGATAGAATTAATCATGGAGGTCTATTTCTTTTGCATACTTGACACTATAGACATATTAATGTGGTCCATTTTGAGAATGAGTGACATTTGAGTTGTTTTGATTGTGATAAAAACATTTTAAACCGTATTTATGTGATTGCCATTTGTCATCTTCATTGGGTTACTATTTGGCGGTAAAAGTGAGTCTTTTTTGGCTATTTATGACATTATATGCTCGCTGATGCAATAAGTTTCACAAAACAGTGGAGTTTTTTTTTTTCTTTTTACCTTTTTTTTTTTTTTGGAAAAATAAACAGTGACGTTTGAGTATATCCTGATTGTGATTGAGGCAATTTGAACTCTATTTGCGAAGGTTGCTTCCCTTGTCTACCATGATAATATTTTATCAGATTGTTAATGAGACTCATATGGAGATCAATTTACTTGAAAACATCTGCCTTGACGAGTGCTGTGTCACTTTGTGCTGCTTGTATAGATTTGCTTCAATGTGTCCGTTTGTTTTTGCATGCACTACTTCTGTAGATTTGCCTGTGTGCGCGTTTGTTACTGCATGAGTTTTCTCATGAATTGATGCTTATGCTTGTTCGATCAAAATCTTCTTTTCCGAAGTAAACAAGATTAAGAACTTTTCTTCTAGCTTACCTTTGTGCAGCATAATGTTGTTTAGAGGCTCTTTAATCTCGTTCCTCTGTGCAGGAAAGAAAAAACCGCAGTTAATATTGCTTGATCATGGTCTATACAAAAATCTTGATTTTGCTACTAGAGTAAATTATGCTTCACTTTGGAAGGTTTGCTCCGCGCTCGTGAAGAATTTCTGTTCCTTTTTAAACCATACTGTCTGGGCTAACAACAGTTTGTTTTAGGCACTAATTTTTGCTGATGTTAATGGGATCAAGGAGAATAGTGTTAAGTTGGGTGCGGGTGAGGATCTCTATGTTCTATTTGCCGGAGTTCTTACTATGAGACCGTGGAACAGGGTAATTGATCGATCTGTAGACCATTTAGTGCTAGATGGAAATGACAGTGAGCGCTCTGAACTTCAGGTTAGCTGATATATGTGTTTTTTATTTTGTTAGTATTTTAAACTGATTTGTAAAAGCTCAATTGTATGTTTAGTTTCTTTTGCCTTCTGCTTTTCAAGTCTATCATGTTCGTTTAGAGAAATATCAAACTAGTGGTACCCTTGTGGTTCTCATTGTTAACTTGAGGATTTTTTTTGTCTCCGTATGGGCTCACCTCTGTCACCCTACCTATGTAGGCTAGCAAAAGATATTATTACCAACCTATTCATATACATGATCCTTTTAAGTTCATTTCGTTCTCATTATTATACATTTAATTACATATATCATTATGCATGTTGCCCTACTTTTTAAAAATACAACATTTTAATAAAATGATTACATACTTCTATGCTTATTTTACACCAATAAATGGCTTCCATAGGATGATACTTATGTTAACGGCCTTCTTGGGCCTGGTGAGCCCATTACTTTTTTTAAGGCCCAATTGTCACGTTCTAGCTGACGGATTAACCTATTGAGTTGACATGTCGAGTTGATCTGTTAAGTTAGTCCAACGAGTATCCCTTAAAAGCGAGCAAATGTAGAAGTGTCAACTATTATTAAAAAAGAAGGCATCTCCATGCCCATTTATGAGTCATCTGACATCCACATCATCGCCATTTTCATTGGCACTTCGTGGGCAAACTTCACACGACACAAATTATTTAATTTTCTCTCTTTGTAATCCAATCACAGGGGAGAAATCATCTCGAGAGATACAAAAAGAGATGATTTCCCGCCTTTTAAAGGACCTTATAAAATCCCTTTCTGGTGGCAAAAATTAAAACTTCTGGTGAAGAGTGATGGATTACACTAGCTAGTTTGTAATGCAACATACCTGCGAGCTAAAGAAACATATGAAGATGATGATATGGGAGGTATAGAAAAGTGCTTTCAAAACTCGCTCCAGAACCCACTACAGGGCACGCACAAAGTCATCAAGATCAGTGGCTCGAACATGAAATACTAAGAACGAGGCCAAGAAAAGCCCTGTCCTCTATGCCATAGGAAAATGCTGATGAGACGTACGTTCCGAAGCAAGGAGTTTTTGCACCTTTAAATGAGGAAATAGATGAAAGAAGTACCAGAAACTGCTTGACAACATTTTGTCGAGATAAATGGTGAAAGTCCAAGCACCAAGGAAGCTCAAGGTCTAAGATTTAGAATTTTACAAAGAAAGAATGGCCCAGTTAATCAGGTACCTTCATTTGAGTTGGTTGTGTGCCTAATATGTGTAAATGGTGCCTTGAAGTGTCGTCCATTCTTCATGATGCTGAAAGAATCAGCTCTACGTTGGTTCAACAACTTACTTTCATAATTCATCACCTCTTTGTTTTTTAGTGTAATTGAATGTTCATTAGCCCACGTCGCTAGTGCTCCAAAACTGCAGAAGGACTCTCAAGTTTTTCTAAAGATCTCACAGGAGTCTTCGGAAAGTCTGAGAAGCTTCATCACTAGATTCAAGTGAGAGATGATGGAAATGAAAAATCTGGAACCTATTGTTGCTCGTGCAACACTAGCTCTGAAGGCCTGCTTGAGGGATCTTTTAGATATGCTCTTGGTCTCCAAAGATAAAATTTTTTTTGTTAACCTTTCATATGTGTTCGCCTGAACAGCAAATGAGATGTCAGGAGTAAGCACAGACATTGTCTGTCGCCGACCTTATGCCAATCCAAAAGCCAAACAATCAAACAGAAGATAATACCTATAAAAACCATCTTGGTCAAACCAATATGGCAGGAGACCCGAAAATTATTATACTCAAAATTTATCAGAAGAATGCACTATATTAATTTGCTAGCAAATGTCATAATTGTCTGAAAAGTAAGAAACAAGTGTAGAATGTGTGTCTACTCTATCGGCTTGAACTCAGCATGTCTAAAAAATAGTCATCGCTTACTGCAAATTGATGTGTCGGTCAATTATGTAAGTACTTGGTTTTGAGTTTTCTATACACCCTCCAAAAATACCATGAGATCAAAATACACACAACTGACTCGCCTTCATTACCATAGACGAGGTTTAGTGTTATAATGTTTTGTCATTCAACTAAATAATATTGGGCTACTTATTAAAGTTTTATAGATGTAATCTTTGTCAATAAAAAAAATGTTAAAGTCTTTGTCGATGATTTTTAATTAAAAACAAAACACCTGAGAAGCATATACAAGATTTAAGTGAAACTTTGTATAACTTGAGAAATATCAATCTCGGGTTTAACCCATTGAAATGCACATTTGGAGCAGGCTCAAGAAAGTTTCTGGGATACTTGCTCATGCTTGAGGGAATTAAAGCCAATTTGGAGAAAGTTAAAGTGATCTGAGATATGCCACCATTGGGGAATATCAAAGAATTGCAGGCCCTGATCGAGCAGATTGCATGGCTAAATTGCTTCATATCTAAATCTTGAGATTGATGCTCAGGATTCTTCAGATCTATGAAAAATATCGGTCACTTTGCTTGGATAGAAGAATGTGAGCATGTATTCAAATATCCGAAAGTCTTGTTGTCATCATCACCACTTTTATTGTAAAATTAAGAGTTCACTCCCTAATAATACAGGAAGAGGGATGTCAGTTTACCCGCGCTCATAAATGCTTTTCTACCACCTCAAACACTTATGGTTTTAGATAACTAACTACTATGTCTACTGAAGAATATCGGTCAGGGGCGAGTAGACAGTGCTTACCACACTAGACTTGCGATTTTAGATTGCAACCCGCTGTGCCGACGGGAGAATGTTGGCTAGGGGCAGGTAAAGGTCTTTCCATCTCAGACAATTGTGATGTTTAAATAGTTAACTGATGTGTCAATGGAATAATATCAGTAAGGGATATATTAGGTTATATTTTGACGGTATTCCTAAGAAAGATGTGAATGTTAATAGTATAAAGTAAAAATAAAGTTAAAATTAAACCTTGAAAAATACAATAAAAGTAAATGCATATAGAAACTTAGAGTATTTTCATTTAAGTTAATGATACCGGAGTTAACTCAAACCATGACTCAATCGATGTGAATTTTATTGCTGACATGAGAATTGCAATGACTCTTTAACAAGTGACAACACAAGTATGTAAACTATAAATAAAGATGTGTCGACCCAATAAGTAATAAAAATGAACAATGTAAAAGAGAGCATAAACAGTCTTGGATGGTGTTGAAGAGAGATGAAGAGTTCGCTGGAGGGCGTGGAGGAAAGTCAGTGGTGGCTAGGAGATTGTCGGGTGAAGCGTTAGTGCTGGAGGGCGACGGATGGCTTGCGGAAGCTGATCAGGACTGGAGTGCATCTAAAGGTTTGACCACCTGCCGAGGAAGGTGGGACAGTGGAGAGTGGTGCTGAAGGAGGCCAATACAACAACTTGCTGGAGGAGGTTAGTGTGTGGCAGAGGCAGGAGCAGCTACAAGGGTGGTGGGCGGTGATCTAGAGGGAGAATGCAATCAATTTGTGCGGCTGGAGAGCGTAGGAGGGTCGATTGTTTTGCTACAGAGTGAGGGAAGTGTTGCATGAATTAGGGAAGTTGCCCAGGGGGATGGAATGAATTGGGGATACACTCCACCTTGACGAGATGCAGTCATAGCACCACTGCAAAGGATGCAACCCTCGAATGAGGGAGACACCAGGAAAACCATTTGAATCTAAAATCAACAGCAAAACAAAAACTGTTTAGACCTAAGAGAAGAACATGCATAAATTGGGAAGAAAGGAGACAACCAAGGCAAGATCCTAGAAAGGAAGGAGGTGAAAGAAAGGGAAGGGATTGAAGGGTAGATTGCAACGGCTAGTGGCAGAATAGGGCAGGGGAGGGAGGGGGGTGTGGCGTGAAGCGGGCACGGGATGTGGAGGGCGAGCTTAATAAGGGTAGGAATGGACCGGTCGGTCTAGTGTGCGGGCTGGACAAACTACTTATTGCACCTGACCCAACGGAAAAAGTAGCCCGCGTCATTCCCTGGAGATTCGGGGAGCTTCAACATCATTTGTCGAAGCTTGTGGTTCCTCGTAGTATGGGGTGAGATCCGCAACATTGAAGGTAGCCAAAATTTTGGAGTCGCACGGAAGGTCAACTTTGTAGGCATTGTCATTGAGCTTCTTAATTATGCGGAAAGGTCCGTTGGCTCAGGATTTGAGTTTCTCGTGTGCTTCTACGGGAAATCGCTCTTTCTTAAGGTGGATCCACAAGAGGTCTTCTTTAAAGGTTTTTTTTTTTTCTAGATTCATTAGCCTATGCTTGATATTTATGGTTTTGCATAGAAATTTTTTCCCAACTTCCTTGTGTAGTTGCTGAATTTGGCAAGCACGTTCTGTACCATTCTCACTAATATTGGCTAGGGGTAGAAGTGGGACCAACTCAAGGGGTGTGGTTAGGTTGTGGCCGTACACAATTCGAATGGCTTGTGTCCTATTGTCTAGCTTGTTGATCTATTATAGGAAAACTCGGCTTTAGCGAGAATGAGATCCCATTTTTTTATGTTTTCCCAAATAAGTATTGAAGAAGATTCTCAATGCTTATATTAACGACTTTGGTTTTGCCCATCCGTTTGAGGATGTGTTGCAGAATTAAATTAGAGTTTAGTGTCTAATTTGTTCCAGAGGGTCCATTAGAAGTGGCTCAAGAATTTAACGTCCCGATCGGAAATAATGGTTTTGGGAATGTCGTGAAACCGAACTATCTCACAAAGTATATAAATCAGCACTAAGAGATACATATAACGTCCAGAGGCAAGCGAAGAAATGTGTTATCTTTGAGAACGATCAACTGCGATCATGACAGTTTTTATTCATTTATATGTGTGGTAGTCCTAAGACAAAATCCATAATGGCATCGACCCAAGGCGCTTCAGTGACTGGTAAAGTTCTGTACAATCCTGTATTTTGACCACCTGTTTTGGCGATATGACAAATCTTATATTGTCATATGTGTCGCTCCATGTCTCATGTTAGCCTGAGCAAAAAAAAAGTTCTCTCACGATTGTGAGAG